GACGAATGCCGTATGAACAATTCACATTCCGCAACAGACAACGGGGGGTTACAGCGGTCGGCGGTTATGTTGATTCGGCGGGATGGAAAAGATGAGAGTCTACATCAGTAATGATAATAATGCTGGTAGCATGCCAGGCCAACACTTCAAAAACATCGACAGTTTAGTAGTCCAGTGACTGATGAGTTTTACTCGCATAGTTGCCTGCTTAATTCATGAGCGCCACAGCAACAAATCCACTCGCACACACATACACAGATGTCGTCTGCGTCCTGCAATGCGACTCAAACAAACAATTCATGACTTGGTCATCGCTCATAAATAGCTGCTAGCAAGTAAACAGCAACAACAATCAACTGCTTTGCCACCAAAGTTGTGTTGTCAACGCCTAGGAAGCAGGAGGCGTACACGACAAATTTGAATGACTAGTGTTGAATTGTTGGAAAATTTCATTACATGCCGTGTTGACCAAGGCTTCGAAACACTTACGTTCCTCCAATGGGCCATTGGGGAGACACCGTTCGTATAAGCCATGCTGGAGCTACAGTGAAATTCGGAATTGCATGCGGTCAAATGATATATTTGTATACATACTATATGTGGTATATATTAAATCTTGGCTATATACCGTTAACTTTCAACTTTRGAAAAGAAGTTTTCAATATTCTGAAGCTTTAGTGTTATTCTGTTACCACTGGAAGACTTACTGTAATTGTCATAAATATTTAGAAAATATGTAAGCGAATGAGGGACGACCTTTAAGAATCAGTAATAGATCCAAGGAATCACAATCGCTGAAACAAAATATGTTTCATCTAGCGTCTTTAATAATTCTGAAAAAACGCTGAAAGAGATTCCTATGGTTTTGAGGAAGTAAAAGTTGTGTCAAGATTGAAAATTCTATTATTTGGCTTTGGCTAATCTTGCCTTGATCCACCCGAAAACAACTGTTTTTCTCGGCACAATTTCAGCTGACACTGTGGTTTTKAAGATACTTCAAATTTAAATGATTTACATATTAAGTTCGGATGGAACGTGGCACACAAACCAGAGCCAACTCACAGAASMCTCAATACCTCAACTTTAGCGCTAYACACCCAACAAGYTGACCATATACGGACACACTGATAAGTAATAACATTTATTCAATAGCATTCGGGCTTTTCACATAACTGTTTAAATGTTTGGCAGGCTCGAGGCTGTCTTTATGAATGTCGGCTAGCCGAAAAGAAAAAAGTCCTCCGTCGGCCTAGTGTGGTTAAGCATATAATTTATTCAAATTCAATTACGGTACTTTTTGTGGCTTGATTCAATATAAGTCATCCTCTCTGCGTTGCTTTCTTACGCATTTTCTCTGCTCTTTCTGCTGCTGAAATTAAAATATTCATGATGGCGAATGAAAATGTTTATTTTTCACTGGCTTTGTGATGCTTGTGAGTATTTCCTCTGTCTGTGGGTAGGTAATTAGTGCGTGGGCGGAGGAAGCTCACCAGGTACTGGGTACTGAGGCAGGTTTGCGGTGCGCTTTTTTTATTTTCTGAATAGGCTCTCAAAAGTTGCTAAAGCAAAATTAATTAAAGTTCCACTTAAAATTCCATAACCAGCAAAAGTTTTATGTTAACGGCATATCGTTACTTAGCAACAAAAAATTGAAATTACCGTAGTACACCAGCAGATAAAAGGCTTATGAATAATTCTATTTTGTGCGCAATATTAATTTTTATCTCTTATTTGCAATGGTGTCTCATATATTTGGAATTAATGCCTTCTGTCCAAATAAAGCATTGTTTAAGCATTAAGTAGGAGCTAATTTACATTTGATAAAATAATACCCCAGAATTTCTCTTAACTTCTGGAAAAGTAGCTGGTCATTCGACTGTTAGCATTTCAATTCCTTCGAAATGTGAACAAAATAATAGTTATGTTTGCCGCCGGTTCGGAGGACTCGCCATTGTCCTCCACATTTTTACTGCAAACTTTACTTTCGCAATAAGCAGTATATAGATGAAAAGAAAAGCTTAAAACTAAATAGTTAATTATAAGCAATTTCTTCTCCATCGAATATAGAAGTACAAACTTCATCGCATCGGCTACCGCGTAAATCCGTTTCAAAATAGGAAGAAATACCAAAAATATTTCGGATGCATAACAGAACAATATGTTTTGTTCATAAACGCGTAGATTGAAATCAACTTTTCGAAGTCAGTCATACTTTCAACCTATTATATTTCTTATCTCCTGTAGAACGTTATAAATGGGAGACAAATTAAAAAACGAGAATAAACTTTGAAAAAAATGTCAACCTAAATACTCTAGAAAACTATATGAACAAATTAAACTTAAGGATTGTAAATTGTTTAAAACACCCTCTCTCAAAGATTGGTAAATGTGAGCTTTTAAACCGCATAACAATAACATAAGAGCAAATAACTTATTCAGAGGTTCAGAGGTCTCCATTTCCAGTGTTCAACGCATATGCGACGCATACCTTGTTGGGAATTACATTCGGTGGCTATTAGAATAGGGTTGCTTTTATAAAACAGACACAAATGGCGGTCAGAAAGGTCGCATTAATGTACGAAAAACTAAAGCACTCTCCTCTACATAAACAGTAATTAGCTTCGGAAGTACATAAACCTTGGTTTTACTAAGGAAATTCTGTACTAGAAAGAACAAGTTTTCCGTTTCTCATCTATTAGATTGTTTTAGATGAATAAAATTTTTTAATATGTAGGAAGGACTAATTTCGAGTACAACCGAACATTTTATACTCAGCAACCTGCAGGAATCGAAGCCAGAGAAATAACTTAAGGTGTAAAACGTTAACCAGAATCCAAGCAATTTTATATATATGCTGGCTGATGCATGTGTTATAGTCATCCGGAAGATGGGGGCTCAGGGAAGTATTAAATATACATACCAATGGGTGAGAGATTATCCCATGATTTCAGTTACATTTGTTACACATTTTCGATTAAAAGTCAAAGTACTCGTATAGATACTGGGGTTCATATATTCTCTACCTAGGGCCTTGAACAGTTTTGGTTAGATTTTCACAATTTTTGGCCAATGGTGGCATAATTTAAGGGATTTATAACTGTAAACTTTTATTCCGTTATATTAGTTACAGTTTGGTTTGTGTACTGGTAAGTAAAGAATCCAGTAGAATTTTGAATTGTGTTATTTGGGAAGAAAGCCCGTATTCGCACCGTGATACAGGAATATGAGGATAATGTTACGTTCTAAATTTTGTCAAAATCGCTCAGTTGCTCAGTTTACAGCAGCCGAATTTCTCTCAAATTTTGCATTTCCTACGAGTGGAAAAGCACCTTCGACCTCTTCAACTGATCAAAATATTGGTTGAAAATCTTCAGGCCTGTGTTAGAGAGATGGCAAGAAAGTTCGACATCTCTCGTGAGTTCGTTCGAATAATTTTGGTGGGTATTTTGGATATGAAAAGCCATCTTGCTCCACTCGTCCACATAAAGCTGCATTTKTTCAAAAAGAGTACCATGAACATGGTTTATTGCATTATAACTGCAGATGAGACAAGGGATTATGAGTTKGACATGCAAAAAAGTCAGCGATTATCGGAATATAGGGAAACAACGAACCGAATTCGAAAACCACGACAAAGCCTCTCAAAAGTCAAGGTGATACTTTTCGTTTTTTCGATATTCGCAGTTTGGTGCATAATGAATTTGTTTCGGAGAGAAAAAAAGTCAATAAAGGGTTCTATTAGCCAAGAAAAATTCATGGATCTTACACGATGATAATGCAGCATGGCATCGAGATACGATTGTGACTGAATTTCGTGGAATCCGTTTTCAGTCGATCGAAGTGATAAAACAAAATTCGACGGTTTAAGAAAAGTGATTCGAGGTCTGGATAAATCGTTGTGATAGTGTGCAATACACTTTGAAGGCGACAAAATAAATATTAATGAATAAATAGTTTGCGTTTTATTTACAATTTTCGAATACTTTTTTATACCAAAGTATATGTACTTATAGTTTCAACACTTATATTATATAKAAGAACATCGTTTCAGTTATTGTAACCAAATGTGCAAATCACGGACAACTATATTGGATATTMAAATGCAGGTTAATGAAACTTGTTGCCAATGACCCAAAATTACCTTGCACATAYGTGCATACATTTATACATTTATACGTATATGCAAATATATTTGTAGTCGTGTKTGCAGTTATTTTAGTTTTAAGAGTCACGGCATAGTGCTGTTCCGCCCCTATACTTAGGGCTCCAAGACCACGCGAAATTCCCGATTAACAAATTGGCACTTGCCGTGCTAATTACATATTGACGCTGTTGTGAGTCGGAAGGAGAGGTTTGCAGTTATAATTGCTTTTTGTAAGTTGCTTACCTTTTCACACGAAACTCGCGYTTGGGCCGAAGTATTTATAACAACCGCCTAGTGTTTGCTTTTGTACWCTCTATTATTATTGTTTAATTAATGGAAGGCACTTAGATGAAAACACCTTCAGTAAGAGCAAGCTTCATTAAGCAAATCTTCGTGATTYAAAAAAAAGGGCCCCTAGAGAATGACAGCCTAAGCGAAAATTTTTATTGCTAAATTGYAGTATTGGAATCTTCAAATTGGTTTAATAAACTTTAATTACCAAGTAATATTCTTTCCTGACGGATTCTATTTCCAAAAGGTTTAAATGCTATAAGGTCTATATTTCTGAAGTATATACAGTAGTATAACTCAAAAATAGTAAACAAAAGTTATAAGAGTAAATATAGCTAATGCACCAACTGGCACATTCATTTTAATTAGTCTGTTTGGCATAAGTGTAATTAATACGTCATACTCATTGTCGCCTGAGACGTCAATTAAACGTAATACAGGGTTCCTATGACATTTCGACAGTTTGGACAACTCAAAGACATTAAAAGTAATGAGCTTAATGTCTTCCACGAAGTATATATAAGCGAAGCAAGAAGCAGTTTTCGAGACATCTTAGACATTGCTCTGTTGCGAGTGAACATTATTTTTATTCATTAGAGCTTAAGTAGGCAAAATGCACTCCCGAAAGACTCTCCTGGGCACATTGCTGTGGATAGGTTTTCTGTTGAACCTTATTTGGGCGCAAAAGGAGTTGAGACGTGATGAAACCGTAAGTGGAAAAGTTCTTTCATCAGAGCGTCATATATAAATCATATTGTTGTAGTATCCACCCCCGGAGCTGCTGAAGGAACTACGGCCTGTTCACGATTCTTGCGTTGCCAAGACGGGAGTGACAGAAGGTAAGGAAAAGTCTACCTATTTTGCCCTTAATATTTCGGGACTGAAGAACAAAAACAAAGTTCTAACTAATTTTCGAAGCACTTTTGCCATTCTGATTGAGGTGTCTCGAAAAGATGCGCTCTGAATGCATGAACCACTTTGTCAGGTATAGCAAATGTCCACCTCTTCGTTTATTCGTACGGAAAYTGAAAGACATTCGGTGCCAAGTCAGGACCATACTTACCAATATACWATACACTTTCAGTGCACAAAATGTAGTTGTTTCAAACGATATGTGTTTTCGTTTTCGAATCGAACAAATTGTGTGGGATTCAACGCGAAGAAATTTTCTTACAGTCAAATGTTCATGCAATATTGKATGTATACTAGTCCCACTAATTCCCATATTTGGCTCAATCTTACGATAGGTATATTCTAATATCAGTTTGCGTGCAGCATCAATATTCTTCGGAACAAAAACTTATTTTGGACGACCTTCACGAAGTTCGTCTTGGACGGATGTACGAGCTGGTTTGAATTCACCATACCGCCGATGAACACAGGTCCTTGATGGAGCTTCCTCGCCCAAAATTGAATTAAATTCATCGATGCACTTTTGATCATTTAATCCACGTCGAAAGTTGTAAAATATAATCGCCCGGAAATGTTTGTGGTTTAATTCCACTTTTGGCTGAGATGAATGTTTTAAGTTACTGTAAATAATACAAATAGCGCTAATATGTCAATACGTTTTGAGTATGTCGAAATTGTCAAACTTTAAGATAAAGTTGTAAGTCGTCAGAATACAGCACCAGAGTACCAAATTTCGAAATATAAAGGGCAACCAACGTATTGCTACTGCAGAGGTATAAGAATTTTCATTAGTTTTATGCTCTTTGTTTTTGCTCAGAGGCCATAAAGGAGTTCAGCGATGGGGATGTACACGAGGATGAGCTGTTGAAGTGTTACATGTATTGTGTGTTTGAAGAAACGGATGTCTTGCATGAGGACGGTGAAGTGCATTTGGAGAAGATACTGGACAAATTACCGGAATCCATGCATGTCATAGCTTTGCATATGGGCAAGAAGTGTTTGTATCCCAAGGGCGATAATAAGTGTGAACGCGCCTTTTGGTTGCATCGCTGCTGGAAGGAAGCGGATCCAAAGGTAATTTAATTAGTTTAATTAMATCAAATCAAATGAAATTTTAAATTTAAATTAACTTCCAGCATTATTTCTTGATCTAAATATGAATCACTTTTGGTATGAAACCCTGCTCTGTTTAAGGACACTCGTTGCATTTATCTAAAGTGTTTATGCGCGTCCCTATTTTGGTATACAGAAGCAATAGACATTTTATAGTAGATTTTTGGTTTTTATTGATTTCGAAATATAGCGTTGACGAACATTCCAAAAACTAACAAAAACTAATATTATTTAATATTCTTCAAATTATATTGTTGTGCTCTTGCAACATGYTGCTACAGGGTATAATAGTTTTGTTCACCTAAAGGATGCATGTATCACCCAAAACTAAGCGAGATAGATATAAGGTTATGTATATATAAATGATCGAGATGACGAGACGAATGAAAATCCTCGTGACTATCTCTCTGTCCGTCCGTGCAAGTTGTAACTTGAGTAAAAATTGAGATATCTTGTTAAAACTTGGTATGCGCGTTCYTTAGTACAATAGAAATTGCRAATTCGTAGGTTCTCGCGATGGTATGAGAGGGTTTTATGGGAGCCTGTGGGCGTGGCACCGTCCTCTTTTTGGTGAAACCCCATATCTCCGGATCCGCCCCACCGATTTCGACTAAATTCACTTTCTGGCATTTTTCACACATCCCTAAGTGACACGATCTAATGACTTCCATATAATTTGGAATTTCATTTGATTCTTTCACTTTCCAGTTCGCAAACCAAGAATCAATTATTATAACGGAAGCAGAAGTGTTSAAGCTCACAGGTACCGAAGGTGTGGAGCCCAGTATCTAGTTRGCTTTTGACCGWAAATATAGGTCAATGCGGGAGATATGCAGTTAAAGTTCAGGGATAATCCTTTCAATTTTAATTTTGTGTATCAAAAWTTATTTTAATCATATCAATACTTCCCTCAGACCTCATGTACATACGTATTATACAGATTTTCGAACTTGCGGGTGACTTTCTACCGCATATATTGGCAAAACTGTGAGTTATCTCATAAAATTGAGGTGTTTTGCTCATAACAGAATATCTTTGTATCTAACTTGACCTAACCCCGTATAACTAATATCAGGATTTTCGAACACCGGCTGACTTTGCTCCATATGATTCGTGATTGGACGTGAGGTACTTTAATGGAACACAGGGGAGATTTTAGTAATATAACGCATATTAGTAATATGTGGGATTGGCAAMATAGACAAAATCGGGTCGATACAACCCCCAACTTCCATGTACAACGTATAGTGATTTTCGTTTTCCTGAAAAACCTTATGCCGAATATGTCGGTCAGTGTATGAGTTATATATAGTGTATATATGTATATACTATATAAAATTGCTGGGACTTCGATCATCTGGTTAATGTTCTACACCTTAAATTATTTTCCCGTTTTTGATTCCTGCTGGAGTATAAATATAATATTTCGGTTGCACTCGAAAGAAGAATATTACGAAGAATTTCGTCTGTACTTCTAACCTCTACAACTACCAAAAATCCCGCTCTACTACTACATATGAATACATATCACTYCATAKATATATGTATGTATATTTCAGCTAAAGTAGCTTGATAATTGTGTGATTGAAAAATGGCGTCAATGTATTCATTATCTGTGCACACAATGCCATTACCAGGTGCTGATGCMGTTTAGCTGGTGTCAGTGAGTTGGAAATTGCAAACGGGGAATTACAATTCGCAAATGCAAAATGTTTACGGAAATTTGATATGTAATTACACATAGGGCTGCATTTATYATGTGTGTGTTGTATGTGGAAGCATATGTGTGCATAATGGTGTTTAATTTAACGCATCGGTGGGCAGCATCAGTGTCAGCGATTATTCACAGTCAGCGATTGGCAGCGAAATTGGCGGAGCTGCAGTGGTGCAGCGRCTGCAGCAGCCACGGTGGAAGCCATATAATTAAGTGACTTTCGCAACAGAGGATGACATCTAATAATTGCAGCAAAAGCTTACATAAAAATATACTATTTAGATGGCTAATAGTCGGTGCATCTCTCTAATGAGTTGATACACTACACGCAAACGAATTGTTGCCGAACCAAAAAAYTGCGTTGGAATATTCCGCCCTCCGCCAATACTAAGAGACTTTCAGTCGTTTGGGACATAATAAAGACATTTTATAATATTGTAAATTTATATATTTTACAGGGTGCACCAACTTTTACGTGGAAGAAATTCGTTACATTCAATTAATTCGGTCCTTACAATTTCTGCGACCCCCTTGCTGCGCTTTCCACTACTTCTTTGAGGTATTCGATAATTTCGGTGTGTACTGTTATATAGAGCTTGTAAATGACTCGAGTATTGCTGGCGCACTTTTTGGATCTTAAAGAGATTTTTGGGCACCAAAAAGGGTAGTTTTTTTTTATATATGACGTATTCCAGCAATACTACTCAATTTACTTTAATTTAGCGTATAATAGAAATATTGCCTTAATGTGTGCTTGTAGGCTTATGAACAGCATTCGAAATAAGCAAATCTGAAGTATTACTGGCACACAGCCACTTGATCGCAATCGATAGGTTGCTCATTAAGGATCTGGAAGTGTTGAAGCAGGMGCAAAATAGTCAACAATAATATATTCGAATAATCGCTCGCATTCCYTTCGGCTGCTGTGCTTTGCTCTTTGCTTTGGTTCACATGTCACTGACTCCCACTAAATAATTAAAACCACAATAYAAGTTGTTTGATCTAAGTGCATAAAAGCCAGCAAAAGCGTGGTATTGAAAGTTCAATTGCCGGATCGGTTCGGCTCGTATTTGTATGCACGCCCTCCCAATAACACATGTTTAATTCATGCTAGATTCGTCGATTTCCCCGCCCACTGCAGTGAGTACACACGCTCTGGCCTACGAATCTGCTGACTGTATGTGACTATGTGTGCTTCCACTTCTTATTGCTTCTCTAAACATATGTTTTCTGCCGAAACCGTAATAGAATGTGAATACAGTTATTAATAGGGTCTCCTCCCACTAGCGTGTCGCTGTCAGTCATTTGATTCACATTTCTTTGTTTTAATAGCTCAATTATTAAATAGCCTATACATAGTGTGTTGCAACGTAAAATGCACCAGCTAAGGCTTGACGCTTATTTTAAATAAATAGTTTATTTTAAAACAGCGAAGTCTTGTAATGTCGGTCTTATATATGTATAGTAACTGATTCATTTAATTACAGCTTCTAAAGATCAGTTGGTTTCTATATACGACTTTTAAAGTTTATAAAAGCAACATTCTCGAGTTTGCCATTGCCCAGGTCCGGTAACAACAAGTTAAATTATTTCTTTTTCCGATCAGAAGCACTTAATTAACAATTATTTGAAAATTAGTCGGCAAACTTGTATACCTCCGCTATATCGTTCTCTTTTTCCCATTTTATTGTAATACTCGTAATAATGCACATAATGACCTTAAGCGACGTGGACGCTTACGATTTAGAAAAAAAGATACTTTTTGAAGAATGAATTATTGCTTCTTCTCTGTCTGTGAATGAAAACCACAAACCTRCGAGTAGTACAAAGCCTTCGAAGATGGTCGRGACATCGTTGAAGAAGTGCCTCGTTCTGGACGACCATCGATCTCTTCCACTGATGAAAGTATTATAAAATAGAAAGATATCGTGCTTGAAAATCATCAGGCTAGGGTTAGAGAGACGGGAGGGGAGCTCCAATGATTTTGATGGWTATATTCGGGTATGAAACGCGTTCTTGCTTGACTCGTAGCAATAAAGCAGAATTTTTCTTTTTTCAAAAATAAAACGATTGTGACCGAAATTAAAACCAAAAATGTTTTATATATCGCGTGGATTATTTTGAAGGCGACAAAATAAATATTAATGAATATTTCAATTTTTTGCTTTTTATTTACAATTTCTTAGTACTTTTTTGTATGATTCAGAGAATGAGATTTCGCCAGCTTGTTATTTTTTCGCAGGAGGATTTTGGGAGACAATGTGTCATCTGAGAATTAAAATATAATAACTYACTTGCTTTGTGGACAAATAAACTGGTTTGTAGTAGGTTTTTATTCAGCATATCGGTTTGTCCAGAAAATAACTGGACYGATTTTCTWCCGYCGTGACTGTACTTCGGAGCGTRCGAGCACCGACTAGATTCGGTAGAGGGCATTCCTAGGCAAAGAACGAGCGGCTGGTCAGTTGTCTCTGGAGAGTCAAGACCAACATTCTCGCGCGATGTGTTTCTGTGAGGATGCAAGCAGAAAATGCAGCGTTCGTTAAAGCAGAGGTACGCAATTAAAGATGTTGCTTTAGCAAGAAGTGGTGTKTTTCGGTGGCATCCAGCCTTTTTGGAGGGAAGGAAGAGGAAGAGGTCAATGATGAAGACCGTGCTGGGAGAACTGCGACTTCGACAAACACCAACAATGTGACKCGTGTGTGAAAAGTTTTGAATTCAGACCATCGACTAAGTATTACTTTAACCGCCCAGACGTTAAATTTATTAAAAAAGGTCAAACAGGTCCGACAATAGATCGCAGCATTATGGAAGTTTCACTACTTAATTTCGAAAATTTGTTTTGCTTGTAACGGTCTTCATATATTCTGGATACTACMGCATACTTTCAAAATTTTTCTTAATCACAAAAATACATTACTTCCACATGGCCTAAAATGAAAGAGGTTTGGCCTCTGACAGATTCGCTGGTCAATCTTCAGAACGTTCTTCTATTAAATAAATGTCGCGATTATGGGGATCATCTTTGAAATGTTCTCACATGAAATGACGTGAGTGTGAGGAGCATATATGCTATATTCTTATAGATACTTCCCTCTAACCAACAAGAGTCTAGAATTATACTGGATTCAGTCAGATAAATTGCATGTTTTGCTGGCCAACGCTAAAAACGCCTCATGCAATGCGACAACAACAAAAGCTTCAAAGTGCATTCGGCTGTGGAGAAATATGCGAAACAAATAAACAAAAGGCACACCAATAAATGGATTCCCGTGTAAACAGTCAATTTTCGTAGCTAAGCAAATATAGATGTGCTGAATTTAATGCACATGCAAAGCAAATACTCCCACTCACACATGCTCGAGCGTCCCCGAAAGCGAGGCCTATATAAAAGTGACGACCGCAGAACAAAAAACTCAATTCCGTTTGTGGTTGTGAACGGTGAAAGAAACACTTAGCAAGTCGAAACAATTGCGAATTT